TTTGGATCTTAAAGGACTCCTCTACAAGAACTCTTAAAGGATTTGGATCTTAAAGGACTCCTCTACAAGAACTCTTAAAGGATTTGGATCTTAAAGGACTCCTCCAACAAGAACTCTTAAAGGATTTGGAGCTTAAAGGACTCCTTTACAAAAATTACTTAAAAATCTATAAATATTAAATAAAAACCACCACAGTTTCCCATTGTGGATTAGTAGAATTGAGTAGAATTGAATCAGTTGAATTGTTTGAGTCTGAAAATCATTCAAGAGCTTTCAAGCTTTTATACAACTCCAACAACTCCAGCAAACATCATATCAAACAAAATTCAACACCAAATCAGATTAAAGATGTAAAAAAGGAAAAGAAAATGATTGAAAAGAGATTTGACTGACTATTTTTTTGTTTATTGTTTATTTGAAGGGATAGACTTTCGAGAAACATTGCACTTTGTGTTGACGTGAAATTTCAGCGCCCATTTAAACTGGAATTTGATTAGGAAATTGATGAATGAAGTAAAATTGAATGAATGAAGTAAACAAAATGTATTCATTGGCAATCAAATCTTTCAACCACTTTGTTTTCCTTTAATCTTGGTGTTGAATTTTGTTTGATATGATGTTTGCTGGAGTTGTTGGAGTTGTATAAAAGCTTGAAAGCTCTTGAATGATTTCCAGACTCAAACAATTCAATTGATTCAATTCTACTCAATTCTACTAATCAACAATGGGAAACTGTGGTGGTTTTTATTTAATATTCATAAATTTTTAAGTAGTTTTTCCAAATCTTTTAGGGTTTTTGCATTTAAAACTTTCCGATTGCAAAGGCAAGGGCGCGTTTAAAATGCGAAACTTTAGATCTCGTTTTTACAAAGTTTATAAAAGCTATTGAAACTTTAAAAGACATGTAATTGTTGAATTTAGAAATATTTCCAAAAACTATAGCTAATCAGGCGTTGGAAAATTGGGGTCACTGTCAAACAAGTCCAAAACTTGAACGTCACTTTGGCTTATTGCCCAGCCTGCAAATTTTAGTCTAAAAACATTTTCTTCTGATCTTTTTGATCAAAACTAATCTTTTGATTAAGAAAAGAAGCTATTTAGCTAAAAATTAAACATATTTTGCCTTAGTTAATAAGTAAAAGGCATTCAATCTTGACATTTTAATATTCTTTCACACTGTAGGCTTCTGCTTTACGTTCATGATAAAACAAGTCATGAAGATTTCACCAATCTCTTCTATACAATATTTTATTCAATTCTCTTTTAGGTTGCGCTGACGGAAAGCCGTGCACTTGTCAGAAAGGACAATGCAAATGTGAGAAATGTGGTTGTAAAGAATGCGGATGTCAGGGACAGAGTGAGTTGTGTAAATGATTGATAAAGAGCTGTCAAGAATTCGAATTGATTCTCTAGTTCTTAATTTCATCAAATCCGAATATTCATATTCTAAAACTCATGATTTCAATCATTTTCCTTTTCTTTTTTACATCTTTAATCTGATTTGGTGTTGAATTTTGTTTGATATGATGTTTTTCTCGAATTTTCAGAAGCTTCCGAATGTCAAGGAGGCGAAAAGGGCAAAGAATGCTCTGAGAAACACTGATTCACTCCAAATCACAAGATGTAAACAAAAAATGATCGATCAAAAGCTGTAAATTTTTGCTTTTCATTTGTAAACAATAAATATTTCTTTTCAAAAAAGCTTATTTAAAAGATTAACAGAATTGATTGAATGGATGGAATTCGGGCAATCAGTTGTCTGAAGAGAATGGCTACTCTGAAAATGACTCTCTTTTAAGAGTTTAGCTCTCAGTTCATGATTAGCTTACCTAAAAATAAGAAATATCAAATTATCATCTAAATTTAAAGCTATTTGACCAAGTCCTTTCGATCTTCTGAACCAAATTTCCTTCGGTGATTTGAAAAATTGAAGTCTTAAACCCGTTTCTACCCGTTTCTACCCAATTCTACACCAAAACCCGCTCCAAATCTTCCACAATTCCCCATTCCAACTCACTCTTGCAACATTTGCAATCGGAACACGAGCAATTGTCACATTTGCAATCGATGCATTTGCACGTGCATGGCTTTCCCTGGTCGCATTCTGAAATTGGGGAGACTTGAGGTGATGCTGGCTACTAATAAAGTTTCTAAATTCTTTATAAACTTATTCTTTCAGTGTACTGTGTACTCAAATTCGAAACCGACTCTTTCTGGAGCCGTAGGGGTTTTTTTGAGGGAAGAACTGTTTCAAACCTTGAAAAACCCACCACACTTTGGCATTGTTGAGTAGTTGATTGAAGACTGAGAACAAGTAGAAGATTGAATTCTGTAGAATGGAAAGAAATTAAGTGTTTAAATATGGATTTCTGATCTAAAAAAAGGGAATTTAGGGCAAAAAAGGAACGAAAAACAGAAGAATCACAAACAGAAAGGAGCCATTTTGGGGAAAAACTTGGTGTCGGATTTCACTCTGAATGCACTCTAGCGCCGTTTTTTTGATAACAAAACTTACAGGCTGTTCTGTCAAGGAAAATCATCGATTACTCACTAGTCAGCAGACAAGTTTAAAAACAATTTCATAACAGATAACAGTTGTTGAAATCATGTTCATAAAAATCTTAAGTTCAAAAGTCTTCAGTAAACGAGAGTCTCGGTTAATCTACTGTTTTACAAGTGCTCCAGAATTACTAGATCGTTTAGGATCCGCCCGGTTCGGACCAAGCCCAGTCGAGTGAGCTGACGGGACTGAAGAAATTCATGTCTACTTGCAACATTACCCAGCTATGGTATCTATTAACTAGTATCATTGTGTTCCCAGCACTTTCTACCGTATTCTTGCTCGTTTCCATTCTTGCAATCGAACATTTGAGTCCAAGTTTCCCCACTGATCCCTGATGTAAACAAGAAATTTTGTCGCTGAACTCTTTCGTTGATCTCTCGTGATCACCGCGAATTCATTTCAGGGACAAAGGGTATTCTTTTATTTCTTTTCTTTCCATTTCATTCATTTCGTGATTCCTTTGACAATTCTGCTTTTCGTACCCTTTTTCAATGTTTAACCTGATAATAAATCAGTCAATAGTTGCGGGTTTGATGGGAAATTTTGTTGAAAAACTCAATCATTGGCCACAAAATAGGACTAGATAAATCCAAACAGTTTATTTGAAAAATTTCGTGCAAAGGCTTAAAATCAATCCGGCTAAAGCCTCTTGTGCCATATTGATGTGAGAAAATGAGAAACTGGCGAGTTTGCTGAGGTTTTGGCCTGAAGTTTTTGAGTCGAATTTTGGTTGGGCTGAGTGGGCTCAATGAATTTCAGATCACTACTGCAAATTGTCAATTGTAGCTTGGTCTTTTGATTAAAACTAATCTTTTGATTAAGAAAAGAAGCTATTTAGCTAACAATTAAACATTAAACTCCAAGTCCTAATTACATCAAAAGTTTCTGAATGACTGGACTATTCTAGCACTTAGATTTTGTCCAAAAACTAAATTCAATTCTAGAATTTTGGTCTATGGGTTATTTTGAATGACTAGTGAATCCAAAGGGCTGAATTTCAAGAAATAACATAAATAACAAGAGTGTAGCAGATAAACAATCGTTTGATCGAAATCCTTGTTTGTGATCGGCGATGAATCGATGAAGATTTGATTCGAGAAGATTTGAGAGCTGAAATCTAGCTTTGACTTGAGCTTCAAGCTTCAAATCTGTTCAAGAAAAGCACTCAAGATCATTGTTGAGAACTTCGGATTATTGTTCATCTCATCTATGGCACTAAGCTTGCAGGGTTAAGTAAAATTACCGGGGCAAGAAACTTGTTTGAATGTTATTCGTTAAAAGTTCCATAAAACTTCTATAATTCTTTTTTTGATAAACTTAACTATATTTCAAAAAGTTTTTAACAAAAAAAACAGAATAGGATTTAGGTAAAAATAAGAGATTTCTTTAGCTGAAGTGCCTTGATCACTTTTTGAGTGACTAGCTTTTAGACAAGCTTTTAATGGGTTAATGAATACCACAAAAAAACCAGGAACTAAATAGGAGCCAAATAGGAACTACAAAGAGCTAAACAGGTACCAAATAGGAAACAAATAGGCACCAAATAGGAACCAAATAAGAACTACAAAGAGCTAAATAGGGACCAAACTGGAACGAAATCGAAACCAAATATGAACTACAAAAAGCTAAATAGGGATCAAATAGGAAACGAATAGGAATTACAAAGAGCTAAATAGGAATCAAATTGGAACGAAATAGAAACGAAGTAGGAACCAAATAGGAACTATAAAGAACTAAATAGGGATCAAATAGGAAACGAAGAGGAAATTGGTCCCATTCAAAACCTAAAATCAAGTACTTAAAAAAGGGAAAATTTGTGATAAAGGCAAATTTAATTTAATGCTTTAACTTGTCAGAATCACAGCAAACAATCAGTGCCAAGAAGATGACACGAAAAAATGATTTTTTTTTTTGAAATACAGCTTCTCTGTAAGAAAACTTTTGGCTAAAGATAGAGATTATAGAGCGTATTGCTCATTTATGCTAGCTTTATCTCATAAAGAATCGTTTTTCTCGTGCAAAAAGTCAGTTGAATTTAAGCTGGAAAAGTTTAAAATAATAATCTTTCAGAAATCTCTAAAATATTAAGGGAAAGTTGCACTCATTTTTTACAAGTAATTTCTTGGAGTTGACTTGTCAACAATAGAACAAAATGTTCTCGAATTGGTGGATTCGTTTTGAAGAAATTTCAGTCAAACCTTTTTCTGAGAACTTTCTTTCCAACCTTTTCACTTTCTGAGAGCTTTCTGCAAACTTTCTGAGAACTTTCTTTCAAAATTAAATGAACCTCGTTTCGAATCTAGTCCTAGTTAGACAGCTGAGAGCACAAAACAATAGTTTTTTTGGAAGAAAAGTTCTTAAACTCTCCTGTTTCCTGCAACAATTTATTCCAAAACTAGAATTTTATTCAACAACAATAGATTTTCTTTTTCTTTTATCCTCTCCGATTATTCCCTCGATTATTGTTCATTCGATTGTTTGTATTCGAATTTACCTAAACTTTTAACTCGTTTTAATATTTCTTTAATAGATTTTAAGATAATCATTTACCTCACAAAATCCACACGATTTCGCACAATAGAATTGAACTTGAGCTCGCGAATAGAGATTCGAATTGCAGAAACCGTTCATCACATACAATTCACAGCTGAAATTTGAGCAATTTGCATACGTTAATATGCAAAATACTCAAATTTTGATGTACAGTATTTTCTCTAATAGTAGTGCATCTTAAGCTTTGCCTAAATTGCTCGAAATCTCGAGAAGCGCTTATCAGAACCTATCGATGTGGGGTCGGAAAATGTAGCTGACGATGAGATCTAGTGAGGGATTAGAGTGTTGAGCTTCTGTGAAAGCTTGGAAGCCGTAAAATAGTCACCAACTTAGCGGGGTACACTACTATTAGAGAGAATATGCTTTATTCAAGATCTAAGCCATGGCTGGTTACGTCAAGCTTCGCCTAATCATAAGCTTTTTGGACTAGTCTAGCCTGACATAGCCTTGACTTAGCTTGCTTTTTGTATCACCAGAGCTAGTCATAGTTGATCCTGGCTGACTTACAAAACTTTCTAGGCTAGGCCAGGACAAGCCAGTCATCAACAATCATTATTATGAGTGTGATCTGGCTCTGGTCTGGAAATTCGGTTCTAGAATAGCCCTGAAAACTATCTTAGGACTAAATTGTCATAAAACTCACTTATAAAACTATTCAAACGCGAATACCGTATTTTCTCTAATAGTAGCGCCTGTGTGCAGAAAAGTGGCTCTTTTCTGTGAAATCTTAATAAATGTTTTGATTTGAATACCTGATTCTCTTGTCCCGCCTCTAAAAAATCGTTTTTATGATAAAAGGGACGGGCCCCACTTTGTATTGTCTCTTCGTATTGCTTTTTGTATTGCTATGAAACACTGAACCAACTATTGTTTCTATTCTTTTGTATTTTCTCGCTAGATTAGTATTGTGCTAGATTCGGAATAAATATCTAATAATCATTGCCCCCAGCGGTACTCTCTCACACACTGCACAGCCTAAATTGATCGAAACAATTGCCTAAATTGATCGAAACAATTATGTATTATTAATAGCTGAATATCTTTTTGGGTATTCGGAATTTTTCTGGCTAAATTATAAAGTATTTTGTGTTTTGATGTACTTTTTTGCTCTCTTGTAAACACACGATTTCTAGTGCACTTAATCTACCGTACAAATCTAGTAGTGCACCCTGAGCGTCGCCTAAATTCCTCGAAATCTTGAGAACCGCTTATCAGAACCTATCGATGTGGGGTCGGAAAATATAGCTGATGATGAGATCTAGTGGGGGATTTGAGTGTTGAGCTTCTGCAAAAGCTTGGAAACCGTAAAATAGTCACCAACTCGGCTCGCTTGGGTGCACTACTATTAGAGAAAATACGGTATTTTGTGTGATCTTGTTTATTCAAAGTCACTTACTTAGGATCTGAGTCGAAACATTGAGCTGATGTTCTCTAAAAGAGTTAAAGTTATTAAAAGCTTTGGTTATTTTCAAGTTTTTTGAAAAGATCCGTCATAGCTAAATATTAAATTATCACATTTAAATAAGGCTATTATACTTTAAATCTTTTCCTTAATGTAATTTTGAAACTTTTAATTCAATTCAACTGAAACAAATTCATAAAAAAAGCCAAAAATACTTTAAAAGCCATACCTGTGCAATCAAAAACACGACAATCAACAAAGAAAAGCTAAATTTTAAAGTTTTAATGAAAAATTCAATAAACTTACCGTAGATTTGAGTCCATTTTTTAAATCTACTTTAAAAATGACACATATTTTTGTCCTTTTTGTACTTGACCTCTTTGTTTACTCATTTTTTCGGTCAGCTTAACCACTTGAGTTGAAAATTTTGTGCAAAAACTGATTTTCTTTTATTTCTTTTTCTTTTCTGCCCACACAACTATTTAAGTTGAAATGTTTACACTGATGAGAAACAAAAAAGAAACGTGAAAAAAGAAAAGATTATAAGAGTGAAAAGATCAAAAGATGGCCAACAAATGATCTCATTTTAAGTGATCTTTTGGCAAAAGATTTGTATTCAATTTGGTTCCTTTTAAAGTAAAAACAATTGTTTAACACGTTCGGGACGGTATTCGGTCTAGAATAGGATATTCAGTCTAGAGTAGCTAGATTACCATATCGATTCTAGATCAGGGTATTTAGTCTAGAATAGGATATTCAGTCTAGAGTAGCTAGATTACCATATCGATTCTAGATCAGGGTATTTAGTCTAGATTAGGATATTCAGTCTAGAATAGAGTACTCAGTCCTCCTCAAAAACTCAAAAATTTCGTCTTTCGTTTATCGATCATATTTTGGTCCACTTTTCTCCAGGCATCAATTATGGCACATTTCAGAGAAGGCACGTCTTTATAAGTCTTGTTTCTTGCGTAAATGTGACGTACCATGAATCCCCATACATTTTCTTGCAAATTCAAGTCGGGAGAATTGGCAGGCCAGCGCTATAACTTCTCAACTTTTTAAGATAATTTCAAAATGTAAAAAGATTCGATTAGTTCTTTTTGAGGCGGCAATTTTTTCAAAATCTGATTAGAGATTCGGATTCAGCATGAAATTTTACATATAGGAGGTGTATTTCGGGGCTAATAGCTTTGCGAGACAGTCCACGGCCAGTAACGCAAAAAAAAAACGCCTCGTCGCGAATGTGTTAACATAAGTTTGCCGATTAAAAATTGACTTTTCCAACTCGAGAAGAATGCGAATAACTTTAAGGCATATGGACGGCAATTATCAAGTTGAATTTGATGTTTAATTTGAACATACAAATACAAAGCGAATGTGTTAACGGATTCTAGAATTTGTATCAGAAATAAAGCTAAATTTAAGGCAAAAAAAAAAATGATGTTAAAAATTTGGGCATAGTCGCTCAACAAGCGCTGAGCCACTGAGCCCAAGGCGGCTCAGTTGCTTAGCGCTTCTTTGACTTTACGGAAAAAGCTTTTATAAATTTCAGACCATATTATTGATATGTTACGTCCGATAGACTTGATTCTAGATAGGACGCGTCCGGACGTCCGGACGTGAGTGAAATCAGATCAAATGTTCGATCTAGAATCAAGCCGATCACTCTAAATATGAGTCTGGATCTGATGTTTGATTTGGAGTCATTGGCTTGATTCTAGATCGGAAGTTTACCCTCACTTTCTCTAGATCGGAAATTTACCCTCACTTTCTCTAGATCGCAGTTTACCCTCACTTTCTCTAGATCGGAAATTTACCCGCTTTCTTGATCGTAAGTTTACCCTCACTTTTTCTAGATCGGAAATTTACCCTCACTTTCTCTAGATCGAAAGTTTACCCTCACTTTCTCTAGATCGGAAATTTACCCTCGCTTTCTCTAGATCGTAAGTTTACCCTCACTTTCTCTAGATCAGAAGTTTACCCTCACTTTTTCTAGATCGAAAGTTTACCCTCACTTTCTCTAGATCGAAAGTTTACCCTCACTTTCTCTAGATCGAAAGTTTACCCTCACTTTCTCTAGATCGGACGTCCTATCTAGAAACACTCTACATCGGACGTAAGAGATAAAGTAAAGAATAAAATCTCTGTCGATGTATAACCGACAAGTACCAAAAAATTGAACCTAGATTTTGCAAATATATAAAATAATGTCCTACTGATCAAATGGTGAACCTAAAAGTTGTTGAGGATTGAAAAAAGTATAGTTAGTATAGTGCTAAACGAAAGTATAGTTTTCATGCAAAACGAACGTTTTAATCAATCTTCTTTTGATCTTTGATTACTCCATTCAAATTATAACATTTTAAAATCAATTGAAAAACTTTTTGCTGAACCAAGAAACGAATTTCTCTTTTTTTTTTACGAGATTGATTTCACGCATCATTTTGAGGGTTTTTTTCTTTTTTCTCAAATGAATTCACAACGAAAATCTCTTTACAATTCGCACATATGCTCAAGAAATGCCCATTTTCGTTTACTTCAAGTTTATTTTCTTTTGAATGTGACAAGAAAGACGCGGCTGAGCTCGACCTATTCCAATGAATAGCTGAGTAAGTGACTGAACTTTTTCCTCACACAAATAACATTCATTTTAGTCACTCCAATCAATTTTTGCTGATTTCTGTTTTCTGAAAGTATTGATTTCATTGGTTTATAATGAATGTGGATGGTCGACGAACGCCTTGGACGAGGGATGTCAGTTTAACCTTTGTTTAACTTTGTTTCTAACCAGTTTAACCTTGTTTCTAACCAGTTTAACCTTACCTTTGTTTAACTTTGTTTCTAACCAGTTTAACCTTGTTTCTAACCAGTTTAACCTCGTTTCTAACCAGTTTAACCTTGTTTCTGACCAGTTTAACCTCGTTTCTAACCAGTTTAACCTCGTTTCTAACCAGTTTAACCTCGTTTCTAACCAGTTTAACCTCGTTTCTAACCAGTTTAACCTCGTTTCTAACCAGTTTAACCTTGTTTCTAACCAGTTTAACCCTGAAGTTTTCACTGAAATTTACAGAGCTTCGAAAGTATTGAACAGTGAATTCTGTCCATTAAACATATTGAATTCATATCTAGAAATTTGTTTTCGATTTTGATTTACATGGAACAATGGATCTAGAATTTATCTAGACTTTGATCTTCTACTCGTAAACGCTAGATCCATTTGCAAAAAAAGCAAAATTCGTCAAATCTATTAAATTCTTAGACCCTATTAGATTCATAGACTCTTTTAGATTCTTTGATTCTATTAGCTTCTTCAAATCTATTAAACTTGTGATTCTTTGATTCTATTAGATTCATAGATTCTATTAGATCCGTAGATTCTATCAGATTCATAGATTATATTAGATTCTTAGAAGTCTATTCGATTCTTTGAATCCATCAGATTCTTAGATTCTATCAGATTCGTAGATTCTATCAGATTCATAGATTCTATCAGATTCATAGATTCTACTAGCTTCTTCAAATCTATTAAACTCTTGTGGTTCTTTGATTCTATAAGATTCATAGATTCTATTATATTCGTAGATTCTATTAGATTCTTAGAAGTCTATTCGATTCTTTGAATCTATTAGATTCTACTAGATTCTTAGATTCTACTAGATTCTTAGATTCTACTAGATTCTTAGATTCTATTAGATTCTTAGATTCTATTAGATTCATAGATTCTATTAGCTTCTTCAAATCTATTAAACTCTTGTGATTCTTTGATTCTATTAGATTCATAGATTCTATTAGATCCGTAGATTCTATCAGATTCTTAGATTATATTAGATTCATAGATTATATTAGATTCTTAGAAGTCTATTCGATTCTTTGAATCTATCAGATTCGTAGATTCTATCAGATTCATAGATTCTATCAGATTCATAGATTCTACTAGCTTCTTCAAATCTATTAAACTCTTGTGGTTCTTTGATTCTATTAGATTCATAGATTCTATAAGATACACAAATTCTATTAGATCCATAGGTTCTATTAGATCCGTAGATTCTATCAGATTCTTAGATTATATTAGATTCATAGATTATATTAGATTCTTAGAAGTCTATTCGATTCTTTGAATCTATTAGATTCTACTAGATTCTTAGATTCTATCAGATTCGTAGATTCTATCAGATTCATAGATTCTATCAGATTCATAGATTCTACTAGCTTCTTCAAATCTATTAAACTCTTGTGGTTCTTTGATTCTATTAGATTCATAGATTCTATAAGATACACAAATTCTATTAGATCCATAGGTTCTATTAGATCCGTAGATTCTATCAGATTCTTAGATTATATTAGATTCATAGATTATATTAGATTCTTAGAAGTCTATTCGATTCTTTGAATCTATTAGATTCTACTAGATTCTTAGATTCTATCAGATTCGTAGATTCTATCAGATTCATAGATTCTATCAGATTCATAGATTCTACTAGCTTCTTCAAATCTATTAAACTCTTGTGGTTCTTTGATTCTATTAGATTCATAGATTCTATTAGATCCGTAGATTCTATCAGATTCTTAGATTATATTAGATTCATAGATTATATTAGATTCTTAGAAGTCTATTCGATTCTTTGAATCTATTAGATTCTACTAGATTCTTAGATTCTATCAGATTCGTAGATTCTATCAGATTCATAGATTCTATCAGATTCATAGATTCTACTAGCTTCTTCAAATCTATTAAACTCTTGTGGTTCTTTGATTCTATTAGATTCATAGATTCTATAAGATACACAAATTCTATTAGATCCATAGGTTCTATTAGATCCGTAGATTCTATCAGATTCATAAATTCTATAAGATTCATAAATTCTATTAGATTCTTCAAATCTTACGTTATCTATTAGATTTAACAAGCTGATAGACTCGAATTACAAGTAGTACTTAACTTTTCACTAGATTTCGTCTTAAGCTTGATTTGAAGAATAATCAAATCAAAGATTAGAATGAAGAATAAGCAACTGGTAGATCTTGGCGGGCCTGATACTTGAAAATTGACTCTACGACTGTTCCAGAAGCGATTTTTCAAACTAGCGAGTTAAAATATGTCAACTTTAACCGACTACAGTAGCCTCTTGGTCTGACTTGATTTTTGCCAGAAGTTACAGGTATTTAAGTTACAGGCAAAAAGCCGGAAGCTCTGGTTTTTTGCCTGTAACTTAAATACCCTCAAATGAAATTCAAAAAAGTATTAGCTGACTTAATTTTGTTTGTAAACAATTGATAGAAAAAGAAATCCCAAAATTTTCACAAAACAATTCTTTTCCAGGGAGCGCCAGCCGTTTTGGCTTCAATATTCTCATTGGTTTTCCTTTTATTACCTTTAATACCAATCATTACTGCTTGTAATGAAGAAAAACATTACTCGAATCGACCGAGATACAAAAGAAGGTAAGGAATTGTGCAAAATAAGAGCAATAAACATAATTTTGTGCACTTTTTTGTGTTAAACTAAAGTGTTCGACAGGATGACAGAGGGTTTCTTTTCGTTTACAGCGATCTGCAAACTTCTAACGCTCTAAGAAGCGCTTCTAAGAGCTTCTAAGAGCTTCTAAGAGCTTTATGCTTAAAATTCAGCTAATTATTTGTAGTTTTTAAAGGTTAAAACCGTTTTTTCGAAAGCTCTTCTAATGTTTTAGTGCTCTTCTAGTGTTTTTCTGTAACTTTCAAAGATTACTGCAGAATTTTCAGCTATTTTCAGCTTTTCAGCTATCCTTTCAGCTATATCTTGCCAAAAAAAAGTGATTTAAACAATTTCCTAATCAATAAAACTAATATCTAACAAAAATGCACAAAATATTCTTGTAAATGAAAAAGAAAAGTTGAAAGTTTTAGAGAAAGCCAAAAGAATTTTAGATTCATGTCCGGTAGTGCGATGACGGGCGGGAGCCGATCACGGACATACACAAAAAAGGAATACGATGACTGTTTACAACGACAAATGTATCGATGGGCTTTTTATGGGGCATATGTTGCATTGGTGAGTGTTACTTCAGGACGTTCACTTTAACAATTGAATTAATTGAATCAACTGAATCGATACAATCAATTGAATCAACCAAATCAACTGAATCAATTGAATCAATTGAACCAATTGAATCAACTGAATCAACTGAATCAAATGATCCAATTGAATCAATTGAATCAACTGAATCAATTGAATCAACTGAATCAACTGAATCAAATGAATCAAATGAATCAAATGATCCAATTGAATCAATTGAATCAACCAAATCAACTGAATCAATTGAACCAATTGAATCAACCAAATCAACTGAATCAATTGAACCAATTGAATCAACTGAATCAAATGATCCAATTGAATCAATTGAATCCATTGAATCAAATGAATCAAATGAATCAATTGAACCAATTGAATCAAATGAATCAAATGATCCAATTGAATCAATTGAATCCATTGAATCAAATGAATCAAATGAATCAATTGAACCAATTGAATCAAATGAATCAAATGATCCAATTGAATCAATTGAATCAACCAAATCAACTGAATCGATACAATCAATTGAATCAACCAAATCAACTGAATCAATTGAACCAATTGAATCAACCAAATCAACTGAATCAAATGATCCAATTGAATCAATTGAATCAATTGAATCAATTGAATCAATTGAACCAATTGAATCAAATGATCCAATTGAATCAATTGAATCCATTGAATCAAATGAATCAATTGAATCAATTGAATCAATTGAATCAACTGAATCAACTGAATCAACCGAATCAATTGAATCATTTGAATCAACTAAATCAACTGAATCAATTGAATCAATTGAATCAATTGAATCATTTGAATCAATTGAACCAATTGAACCAATTGAATCAACCGAATCAACTGAATCAACTGAATCAATTGAACCAATTGAACCAATTGAATCAATTCATAGAAATCTCTAATCAGAGTTAAGCTTTCTCAAGCTTTTTTTTTCAAAATACATCTATTCACACGAATAATTTGGGACAAACAATACACAAGAACACTTCTAAGCTCTATAATATAGAAAACAAACCTATATATATGGAAAAGGAATGAATAATCGAGAGATTAAACCTCGAGGGATTAAATCGAGGGATTAAACTAAGATACAAAGCTCTTAGCCAGTCGGCCATCTTTACACGAATTTGCGAATGGCTATAAAATTCGATTGAGTTCAGTGAAAGAGCGGATAAAATCTATTGAATAAACGAAAAGGATTAATAGTTTAAATATGGTTGATTAGTCAAATGATGTGCTATTTAAAGCCAAGATTACTGTATTTCTTTATCTAGGTACAATAATATATCCTTATTTGGTTTGGAGACTTTTTAAAACTTGAGCGATTACTTTAAGGAGTGACTTGAATACCGTAATTTCTACTAGATGCTATAGTAAACAAAAAGTTGATACTAAAACCATCAAAATTACTGTAGCATCTGAGTCAGGACATTCTCCAGAGCAGAGTTAGAAAATGATCCTAAATCCTTTAATCTGTGTCTTCAAAATGAAAGCTCAAACGGTAATATAGCTCAAATGGCAATATAGGCGAAATTTGTGCTTTTAAAGTGCTGGGCTACTATTTCTAAACGGTTATCGGACATTTGATACACGCCCCGCCCCTTTGCCATTGCCAATCGAACTTTCACCTCAAATTTCTTGGTGTTAGGCTGTTCGATTTAAATATTTTTGATATCATTGGGTGCGCCAAGTCTTTCTCTATCGATTGGTACAAAAACTATTTCATTTGGACGGCTCGACACCAAGTTATTTGAGTTCAAAGTTGCCAATGGCAAAGGGGCGGAGCGCGTATAAAAGGTCCCGCAATGACCCCGCCCCTTTTCCCATTAGCAATCCAAATTTGAGCCTAAATTTCCTGGTGTTGGGCTGTCCAAATCAAATAGTTTTTGTACCAATCGATAGAGAAAGACTTGGCGCATCCAATGATATCAAAAATATTTAAATTGAACAGCCCAACACCAAGAAATTTGAGCTTGAAGTTGGATTGCTAATGGCAAAAGGGGCGGGGCGCCGATAACCGTTTAGAAATAGTACTTTAAAAGCACAAATATCACCTATATTGCCATTTGATTTGACAACATTTGTCTATTCAACGATATTTGAACTATTAATCCTTTTCGTTTATTCAATAGATTTTATCCGCTCTTTCCCTAAACTCAATCGAATTTTTAAGCCGTTCGCAAATTCGTGTAAAGATGGCCGATTGGCTAAGAGCTTTGTATCTTAGTCGAGAGGTTTAATTCCTCGATTATTGACTCTTTTTCCATATATAGGATTGCCAATGAATACCTGATTCTAGACTGAATATTTTAATCTAGACTAAATGCCGTAATCCAGCTAATCTAGACTAAATACCGTAGTCCAGCTAATGCAGACTCATTACCTTATTCTAGACTAAATACCTTAATCTAGACTAAATAGGTGAACCAGCTTGTGGAGTCTCGCACGACACTCCACATTTGGTGCGCAGTCCGGGAATCGAACCCGGGTCGCCCGCGTGGCAGGCGAGCATTCTACCACTGAACCAACTGCGCACCAAATGTGGAGTGTCGTGCGAGAATACCGATAGGGGCAATGATTATTAGATATTTATTCAGAATCTAGAAAGAAAATGCAAAAGAATAGAATCGTTGGTTCAGTGTTTCATAGCAATACAAAAGGCAATACGAAAGGAATATACGGAAAGAATATGAAAAGTGCCAATGTAAAGTGGGCTCCGTCCCTTTTATCCGTTCCTTTATCTTAAAAGCAATCTTTCAGAGACGGGACAAGAAAACCAGACGTTCAAATCAAAACATTAAATAAGATTTCACAGAAAAGAACCACTTTTCTGCACACAGCTAATCTAGACTGAATACCGTAATCCACTGAATACCGTAATCCAGCTGACTCTAGCCTAATCGCGTAATCCAGCCGTAATCTAGACTGACTAATAATTTAAACTAAATACCGTAATCCAGCTAATGTAGAGTGAATACCCTATTCTGGCTTGAATACCCTATTCTAGCTTGAATACCCAATCTAGACTAAATACCGTAATCCAGTTCATGCAGGGGCGCGTATCAAATGTCCCAAAATTTTTCTAAACAGAGTGCAAGATTTAGTGGATGATCGCTTGTACGATGACATTCATCGCCTATCAAACGATGCGTGCTAGTCAACAATCGAGAACATTGAAAATCGTCGTCGGCAGCGTTCTTCCAATAGCTGTTGTTCTTGGGACCGGTCTTGCAATTGGACTCACATTGGAATCTTTCAATTAATTGGAAATTGATTTGACTGTATTTACAAAATACCATAATCCTTTAAACTTTAGCGTTTTAAATTTTAAAGATACTCAGTAAACAAACGATTTTTATATTACTGTACTTTTCAGTTTACTTGTCGGTTTTTATGTACTTTTCAAATTACTTTCTTTCTTTCTTACTTTCTTTTATTCAAATACATTTATTTTGCAGCAATACACAATAAAAATGAGATCAAAGTTGGCAGAGACTAGAAAAAAAAGAAACTAGTAAGTGAAATGGAAATAATTTTTAAAAAAAGTATGTACAAAAAATTCTTTTACAAATCACTACAGTATACATCAAGCAAATCAGCATTCAAATTTAAGCCAAGACCAAAATTGAAACCATTTGGAGAATGCGGGGCTTGTTGCGTCCAGTGATGGTGTTCAGCGGGGATATAACAGTCAACGTCCATCTCTTGGAGAAGATCGAAATTGTCCGGGAACACGTAGTCGCGATCTGGAATGGAATTGTTGAAACAATAGTTTTGGGTTGGTTTTGGGATGGTTGGGATGGCTTTGGGATGGTTGGGATGGTTTTGGGATGGTTTTGGCTTGATTTTGGGATGGTTTTGGGAAAAGCAGGTCTGGTTTTGGTTTGGTTTTGGTTTAGTGACTTTATTCTTACAAGGGAAGGTCAATTGGGTGTGCTGGCCAAAGCCAAAGCTAAAGCCAGAGCCAAAGTCAAAGCCAAAGCCAAAACCAAAGCCTAAGCCAAAGCCAAAGCCAAGGCCAAAGCCAAAGCCAAAGCCAAAGCCAAAACCAAAGCCAAAGCCAAAACCATTCAACGCAGAATTTCACGCTAATCTTCATGCTCCTTTTTTTCAAGGCATTAAAACCTTAAAAAAAGTAAAAGAAGACCAGCTACTGGACTCGAACCAGCCACCTGTGAGACTAGAGAGACTTGGGCCCAATTGGGCCCTAACCCACTACCACTTGGCCACCGCTGCAACTCTCAGCTCGCGGAAAAGCAGCTTCTAATGTCGCGGTTTGATTTTTGAACTTTAAACAAATTTTTTAAATAACAAATAACAAAGCAAACAAAAAAACAGCGAAATTTTTTGAACAAAACGCTAACTTTAAAAAATTTAAACGGGTATAACTTTTGACAGGGTGCTCCGTAAGAAAAAAGAAAAGCAGCATCGTGATCAGCGTGAAATTCTGCGTCGAATGATCCAGCACATCCAGTTTACCTTAGTACACAGATCTTGATAACTTCAAAGAAAGTTTCAACTAAATTAGAAAAGCTTATAACTTTGAAAATTGAAAGAAGAACTATGATAAAGCCACTTGTCTCATTAGAGTAATCAAATTGTCAAAAAAAAAGTACTTAACAAAAAAGCTTCACAACTTATTAAAGGATTACTTTTAATCAAAGATTATTATCACAAAACTATAAAAACTATATGAAAGCGCAAACTGTGCTCACTGGAAACGCCTACTTTCCGGCACAGTTTTTCGGTTTAAAATCACCCTAGAATCACTCTAAAAGGTGAAAAATTTGTAAAGATTTCGTAATCTTTCTAGTTTTTCTTTGATCTTCACTCCAAAAACCCACCATAAATCCCCTCCTTTTGCCCATCGTTCCACATATCATTTCCCTCAATATCCACTAAATGTTCAACATGTAAATGTTTATCATCTTGTGGTGGAAGCGAAGAATCACTCGTTGATGCGATCATTTGATTTCCCGTCTCTGAGAATGTCAAAACGATTTCGGGAAGTGGTGGGGAATTCACTAAAAATTCTCTTCATTTTGCGTCATTTTATGGTTATTTAAGCTGATTTTCTCTCTATGTAAACTGTTTTTTTAAAAAAACGAATAAGTTTACAAGTAGTACAACTAAGTACAGGTTACAAAAGTCTACAAAGAAACTATGTGAAAGTGTATGGCAAAAGTGATTAAAGCTGTTTTCATTGAGCTTACGGATATTAGCAAATAAAAAAAAGTTTAAATCATTTAATTTCTTAATTGATTTAACAAGTTTTATGATTTTATTGGAATGATTTTCTGATAATCTGATATACCGTATTTTCTCTAATAGTAGTGCACCCAAGTGAGCCGAGTTGGCGACTATTTTACGATTTCCAAGCTTTTGCAGAAGCTCAACACTCTATTCCCTCACTAGATCTCATCGTCAGCTACATTTTCCAACACCACATCGATAGGTTCTGATAAGCGCTTCTCGAGATTTCGAGCAATTTAGGCAACGCTTAAGGTGCGCTACTATTAGAGAAAATACGGTATATCAGATTATCAGATCTATCTCCATTTTTTGTTTAAATAGTGAACTTGCAAATGGAACAGTTGATTCTTTTGACTCTAGTTGACTCTTGAAAATGACATACTTTTTAGACCATTTGATTTCAGAACAAAAACTAATAGAAGTTCATATTTTTTCTTGCACAGTTTGCTAGCGAAAATCATAACCGGTTAGCCGATTCTGAGTACCGTATTGTAATCTAATAGTAGTGCACCCCACCGAGCCGAGTTGATGACTATTTTACGGTTTCAAACCTTTTGCAAAAGCTCTAATCCCCCACTAGATCTCATCATCAGCTACATTTTCCAACACCACATCGATAGGTTCTGATAAGCGGTTGTCGAGATTTCGAGCAATTTAGGCGCTCAGGCGCTACTATTAGAGAAAATACGGTATTTGCGTTTAAATAGTTTTATAAGTGAGTTTTATGACAATTCAGTCCTAAGATAGTTTCCAGGGCTATTCTAGGACCGAATTTCCAGACCAGAGCCAGATCACACTCATGAGAATGATTGTTCATGACTGGCTGCCTAGCCTAGAAAGTTTTGTAAGTCAGCCAGGATCAACTATGACTAGCTCTGGTGATACAAAAAGCAAGCTAAGTCAAGGCTATGTCAAGGCTAAGTCAATGCCAGGGCTAGACTAGCCCAAAAAGCTTATGATTAGGCCAAGCTTCTTGTTTCCAGTTCTAACACTTTATATCTCGTTTTATTCTGCTTTACAGCTTTACAGCCTGAAATTGATCATTGAAAAACTTTTTGTAACTCTTTAGACTAGTTTAGTTTTATATAATTTCCAAAAATAGTGAGCGAAAGTTTTGAAATAGAGTTTTTCAAAGGAGATTTTCTAACTCAATCTAAAAGCTTGATCTTTATCTTGCTTCAGGACTGGATCAGGCGTCAGGCTTGAAGCTAAAGCTGGTTTCTGATCGGGTACAATACTTAAAAGATACTCTAATTACTTAAAAGAAGACTAACAATTAAGAAAAAGTTATCTAAATAACTTCAGCTATATATTTTGTTGACATTTCCACCGTAAACCCAAATGAAAACGATTATTTGGTGTCATACGGAAGATTAGCTGTCATATTATATTCACGATGAGATCTTCTTTTTCCTTTAAGTCTCTTAAAGATCATTATTTCTCTCATAAGGAATAAATGAAAAGAAAGAGAAAGAAAAAGAAGAGGAAGAAAGAAAAAGAAAGAAATAAAATGATTCCCTTCACACGAGAGACCCATGAATAGATGATTAGATCATTCGGAAAAGGGGAAAATTTGGGAGAGTGTGAGGGGAATTAAAGTCAAAATATTAGGTTGATGCATAATTATCCGGACTTCTTTTATAAATGATTTTATTTAACAAAAAATAACATAAATAGTTAGAAAAATATGTTTAATTGATTATTCTGGAGCATATTCACCGCCTACATCAATAATTGATTGCCATTTGCTTGGAAGACGATCGATTCCACGAGCGAAGAATAAACGATCTTTGGAGGCAATCCACGCTTTAACATCGTCTATCAAGTCATCCAAATCGTTGTAGATCTTATTTGTTTGCCAATTTTTGAGCGATCGATTGACGTGGTAGTCCGTTGGGGCTTCTCCAGTTCTTTGAGATCGCGAAACGACTCTGCGGCAGATCATCCCTTTTCGAAGTGGTAGAGCATGATATGGCGAAGATGGATATGATTATCGACACGCATTTTGTTCACTAAAGAATAACGAATATTTAAAAAAAGAAATAGACAAAAAGCTTTCAAAACAAAAAAGATACAAGCACGCAAAAAGAAGTCCGGATAATTATGCATCAACCCAATATATTAGTATGCACATTAAATTAAGCTTTGAAAAAAGGATTTAGTCATTCTAAAGGATGATTGTGCTTGGGCTCTGCTCTGACAAATCGGCAAAAAATGGCAACTCACTCTTTAGTTTAAAGTTTAAATATTTACAATTTTAGATAGTTTTGGGTTTTCTATAGAGAACGACTCTTTAGAATAGCACGTACTGCCTCATAAGAACATCCACCTTTCAGCATACCGTTGTTCGAGTTATTAAGCTTGCACAAACAAGAAATCTCATAATAGATCGTTAAAGTCAAGAATTTTTCAAGATCAGAGTACTTCTTATGGATTAAACAAACAGTAAAACTAGGCCAGGGCCCAAGCAGAGCTTTTGATCTGACAAGACTTGACATCTTGTCAAGTTTAACCCACTGATTATGAATTCAGTATTGAGTATTCAGTATTGGGTATTCAGTATATATTCAGTATTCAGTAATTCATGAATTCATATTCAATTTGAGCTTTATCTCAAAACAAGGGTCAAAAATAAGAGTCCCAAAAAAATAAGAGTCCCAAAAAAATAAGGGTCTGAAAAAAATAAGGGTCCAAACTCTGAAACTCATTTTTTTAGTTACTCAAATCTTAACCATAAGTATATTTTTGAAGAACTGAATGAAGCTGAATGAAGATGAGTTTTAATGAAGAATTTACCATCAATTGATACGTCTTCTACTGTTTTAAGATGAGCTGAAATTGAATGAGAAGTTTTCTTCATTGAAGGGATTTTTATTGAGAAACAAAACTTTTCGGTCGCATTTAAACGTGAAAAAAACCCTTTCTTTTATCCTTGTTTCGAGATAAAGCCAAGTTTCTTTAAAGAAATTACTTTAAAAACCAAAAAACCTCACCTTCATTCAGCGTCGGATCACTTGAAGTAATTGAGATCTTCGAGGGAGAATCAGAAAGTGAAGAAGTGCACAAACGTTTACTGTGAATCTCCATAAAGTCATCTAAATTTAGAAAAATGTCAGAAAGATTGTTAATAATTTAATTTGCTTAAATGAATATCAAGTAATCTATAAATTCAATAAATTCAAACATTTACCATTTTGAAAAGTTCTTTTTCTTTCGATCATGTAGGATTTGGTGATTTCATGAGAAGGAAAAGAGTTCGCTGGATCAATTTCCGAATGAGATTGATTACTGGAATTGTTCAAGTTAAAGAGTGGAATGAACAATTGAATAACTTCTTTGAACATTATCCAGGATAACCACGAATTCTATCAACAACTCTTTAGAAAAGTATCTGACAAATGCCTCATTTATTTCACAAGTGTTAAGTGTTATATATAGAATTATAGCTCTAATTCTTGGCTACATTTAGCTACTAAAAACTTCTCAATCAGATGTATGCAACTTATTTTACAAGCGCTTGAATGAGCGCTAATCGACAACTCTCCATCTCCATCTTTTGGTCGAAGTATCTGGCAAATGCCTCATTTATTTTAAAAGTGTTAAGTGTTATACATAGAATTATAGCTTTAATTGTTGGCTACATTTAGCTACTAAAAACTTCTCAATCGGATGTAAACAACTCATTTTACAAGCGCTTGAATGAGCGCTGGTCGACATTTCTCCAACGAATCTGTCATTTAGTCGCTTTTCTTTATTAAAAATCCCATTGGACACGCTTTTTTAGTAAAATTTTTGGTAATTTTGAACAAAAACATTATTTTCAACAAATTTATAGCACCAGAATATCGAAAAAACTCAATTTTTCTCTTTGACAGCTCCTCTAACTTGACATCAACTTAAATTTTGAACCGAAGACAGTTAAGTGTGATTCTTAATCTTATTAATTCATTTTAAACGCTATTTTTGCATTAAAGAAATATTGAAAAGCTTTTCTTAACAATTTTTAAGAGAGAAAATCGACGAAAAGAGGGAGATGGAGAGTTGTCGACTAGCGCTCATTCAAGCGCTTGTATTAGGTTGTCCAGTTATGAATGCGCCCCTGCTCTTGAACCTTAGGGCTATACAATTTTATCAAACCCTATTCTCTATATGCTGTTCAAGATTTCTTATTTATTACAACTTTTCGTGTTTTTGACGTTAAACTAATTCATTTTTGCTTTAATTTCCATGTTTAGATGACCGAGACGAAGTTTCGTCTTCGTGCCGGTCTTTGGTATGACTTCAAATTGTGCAAAAATGCCGTTGAATCTCATCGAGATCTCTGCAAAGTATTTGGCGAAGATGCTATTTCGGAAAGCCAGTGTCGCAGATGGTTTGAACGATTTCGAGAAGGAAATGAATCTTTGGAAGACGAAGACCACCAACGACGACCTCCTGCGATCGATAATGCAGTACTGAAGCAGGCGATAGAAATGGATCCTCGACAAACTACACGTGAACTTGCAGAAATATTTAGAGTAAGCCCTCAAACAATTTCCGAGCATTTAAATCAATTGGGGAAAACAAGCCGACAAGGGAAATGGGTTCCTCATTTTCTCAGCAATGCCAATAAAGCTACTCGTGTCACTATGGCGGGTATTCTTCTTCGTTTGGCAAAAAATACTGGGTTTTACGATGAAATCCTTACTTGCGATGAAAAATGGATTCAATATGATAATTCTACACGAAAACGGCAATGGCTAGAACCTGGTGAGGAGCCAATACTAACACCAAAACCCGACTTCCATGGCAAGAAAGTAATGCTTACTGTCTGGTGGAATTCCCAATGCATTGTTTATTTTGAGCTGCTTAAACCTGGACAAACAATCACGGGTGAAACGTTTGCACAACAATTGGAACGAGTGAACAATGTATTGCTACAAAAAAGGCCTTGATCCTTCAAACATAAAGTTCATTCAAAATAACGCCCGTCCACACGTTGCAAAGATTGTTCCGGAAAAACTCGAAGAGTTGGGCTGGGAAACTCTCCCGCATCCGCCATATTCTCTGGATATTTCTCCTTCGGATTACCATTTATTTCGCTCAATGCAAAACCATTTGACCGGAAACAAGTTCAAAGAAGTTCAAGAGATCGAAAAATGGATAGCCGACTTCTTTGCCTCAAAACAAGCCAATTTTTACGCGGAGGGAATTCATTCTTTGCATGGAAACATGGATGGAAACAAATATTGTTAACAAATGATGAATATATTGTTGATTGAGCTGTTAAACTGCTGGTTTTAAAATAAAGAGTTGCTATCTTTAAAACGCGCATTTATAACTGGACAACCTAATAAAATGAGTTGTTTACATCCGATTGAGAAGTTTTTAGTAGATAAATGTAGCCAAGAATTAGAGCTATAATTCTATATATAACACTTAACACTTGTGAAATAAATGAGGCGTTTGCCAGAAAAAAGGCGGAGATGGAGAAATGTCGACCAGCGCTCATTCAAGCGCTTGTAAAATAAGTTGTTTACATCCGATTGGGAAGTTTTTAGTAGCTAAATGTAGCCAAGAATTAGAGCTATAATTCTATGTATAACACTTAACACTTGTGAAATAAATGAGGCTAGAAGTTGTTGATAGAGTTGGCGGTGATCGATTTTTCGCTGAAAACTCACCCAACTAACGCCCAATAATGTCCTTTATTCTTTCCACTTCCTTCTTTCGGAATTTTTTCAAAAGATGGATTCAACGAGAGATTGTGACGGATCGAGTTCTGAAATTTTGCATTTAAAAAGATGATAACAGATGAGATTTAATGTCAATTGTTAAAATGGAATTTAAAAATTAAACTGATCAGCGGAAAAGACTTTCCTAAACTGATCAATTCCATAAAAATCAAAGAAATTTTCATTTTCATGTTAGATTTTCAAATTTTGAACTCATAGAGACCAAGAATCTCGTTCAATTACCCAAGAAATCTGTTTTTAGGTCAGAAAAGCTTTCAAAAGTCTTGAATAAGTTCAACTTTCGGAAAAGTGAAAACAATCCACCAATAACAATGATTGTTTTGCTATGGGATTTGGTTAATTAATCCAATCCTCTTGGGCTTAAGTTTGTCTTTCAAAATTTGACAAGGAAATGGAAACAAGTCAAAAAAAAACAGGTAATGAAACGTACGTGAGTTTTCTAGATAACAAAAGGAGATTAAATTGAATTGGATTGCAATTGAATTCTGGATAATTGAATGTAATTGAACTCTGAATTCTGAATTCAGAATTCAATAATTCTGAATAACTAAACCGACCTTCCAACTCTGATTCTCTCCTCGATAATAGGCGAAATTCTCCTGTGTCCACTGGTAGATCTCGGAGAGAGTTAACTGAAATTTCATTTCATTTATTTAAAGCGAAAATAGAATTACTTTTAAATATCAAAAAATGAAATGAAACACGCGATTTCTAGCTTGAGAATTTAAAAGAAAAAATTTAAAATTCCGAAAAATTGAGGGTGGCTTTTTTTAAGAAATTTTGATGAGTTTAAAAGTCTTTCTTTCTTTTCTTTCTATCAAAAATAAAGCTGAAATTCAGGGCTATTTTTTGATACCTAAACGAGTATTGTAGCATAAAGCAGCGTCGAGAAAAGCGCGTCTAAAGCTAGACTACCGTATTTATTCCAATAAACGCCGCCCCCTCGACCAACTTCAGATGCCTCGTTCTCAGTCCCATTTTGAAATATTTTTATGTTTAATATACCAAAAGATTGAAGACATTAAGGACTATCTTTTCGTATATTAAATATATAAATAGCTCAAGATGGGACTGAGAACGAGGCATCTAAAGTTGGTCGAGGGGATCCTCTAATAAATGCCCGCTCGACCAACTTTAGACGCCCCGTTCTCAGTCCCATTTTGAGATATTTATATATTTAATATACGAAAAGATAGTTCTTAATGCTTTCTATCTTTTGGTTTATTAAACATAAAAATATCTCAAAATGGGACTGAGAACGAGGCGTCTTTTTCGTCTTTCAGGGCTATTTTTTTGATACCTAAGCGAGCATTGTAGCTTAAACCAGTGTCGAGGAAAACTCGTTCAAGGATTCTTTCAAAATTGAAACTTAATCTAGAAAATTAGATGCAAATTTATTGTTTTTCATTAAGAAATTAGAATCAAATGCAAATGTAAACTGATTAGTTTAAGTTAAAAAGTAAAAGAAAACACACGTTTTTTTTACGAGTTTCACAGAGTTGATTAACTAAACCCGAGAAAAGAAACAAAGAGAAAAATTGGTCAAATGTCAAATGACTTAAAGTAGAGGGGTGATTTCCCCGTTAAAATCAAGAAAAACCCACCGATTCTATTCTTGATTTATAGGTTTTAAGTTTAAATTTGTTTTTAAAACTTAAATTTATATATATACTTTATTCAGGAGGGCGAATAGAAGCGAATCAGATAATCATAACCGCATATAATTGCTACAATAATAATTTAATGATATTTATGGAAAAATTGATCAAATGACATAAAGTAGAGGGTGGATGAATGAAAAAAAGTTTTAAAAACACCTGTTTTCGTAAAATTTTCCCTTTTTTCAATGATTTGATTTAGTTTTTGATGATAGAAATGTGATTAAAAGGGAAATCACCTGTAAAAGACACAAGATTCACATGAATGAAAGAGGAAAAAGCTTTTTTTCTGAGATCATTTTGATGTACTTTTAAGTGCGATTTGCTAGTTGTCAAAAATGTGAAAAATCTATGATTAATTGAAGGAATGGGTCATGGTAAAGTCGCAATTTTTAGTCCAATAGAAAACTGGCTGACTTACAAAACTTTCTGGGCTAGGCCAGGACAAGCCAGTCATGAACAATCATTCTCATGAGTGTGATCTGGCTCTGGTCTTGAAATTCGATCCTAGAATAGCCCTGGAAACTATCTTAGGACTGAATTGTCACAAAACTCACTTATAAAACTATTCAAACAAACGCGAATACCTCATTTTCTCTAATAGTAGCGCCTGAGCGCCTAAATTGCTCGAAATCTCGAGAAGCGCTTATCAGAACCTATCGATGTGGGGTTGGAAAATGTAGCTAACGATGAGATCTAGTAAGGGATTTGAGTGTTGAGCTTCTGTGAAAGCTTGGAAACCGTAAAATAGTCATCAACTCAGCCAGGTGCACTACTATTAGAAAAAATGCTTTATTCAAGGTCTAAGCGATGGCTGGTTACGTCAAA